CATGGGGGCCAAGATACATGGAGGGCTAAGATGATGGAGGTGGTACTGGAAAACTTCATGTACCAACACGTAAGGGACACTACAAGAGAGAGAGAGGAGAGGATGAACCAGCAAGACTGGACTTAGTATTCACCTTGAGTAGTGCAGATATTGAGGACATCACATATGAAAGACCCCTTGGGGCCAGCGATCATGTGGTTTTGAGCTTCGAATACACAGTAGAGCTACAAGTGGAGGGGGGAGCAGGAAGGCCAGGACAAATGAAACCAAACTACAGGAAAGGGGACTACACAGGAATGAGGATCTTCCTGAATGAGGTTCAGTGGGACAGAGAACTGGCAGGGAAGCCAGTTAATGAGATGATGGAATATGTAGCAACAATGTGCAAGGAGGCTGAGGAGAGGTTTGTACCCAAGGGTAACAGGAATAATGGAAAAGCCAGGATGAGCCCATGGTTCACCCAAAGATGCAAGGAGGCAAAAACCAAGTGTGCTAGGGAATGGAAGAAATATAGAATGCAAAGGACCCAGGAGAAGAAGGAGAACAGTCGTAGAGCCAGAAACGAATATGCACAGATGAGAAGGGAGGCCAAACGTCAATATGAAAACGACATAGCAGCAAAAGCCAAATCTGACCCGAAGCTGTTATACAGCCACATCAGGAAGAAAACAACTGTCAAGGACCAGGTAATCAGGCTAAGGAAGGAAGGAGGAGAGACAACAAGAAATGACCGTGAAGTATGTGAGGAACTCAACAAGAGATTCAAAGAAGTGTTCACAGAGGAGACAGAAGGGGCTCCAGAAAGACGGAGAGGTGGGGTACACCACCATGTGCTGGACACAGTACACACAACCGAGGAAGAAGGGAAGAGGCTTCTGAGTGAGCTAGATACCTCAAAGACAATGGGGCCAGATAACATCTCTCCATGGGTCCTGAGACAGAGAGCAGAGGAGCTATGTGTACCCCTAACAACAATATTCAATACATCTATCGAAACAGGGAGATTGCCTGAGGCATGGAAGACAGCAAATGTAGTCCCAATCTTTAAAAAAGGAGACAGACATGAAGCGCTAAACTACAGACCAGTGTCACTGACATGTATAGCATGCAAAATCATGGAAAAGATTGTCAGGAGAAGAATGGTGGAACATTTAGAAAGGAATGATCTCATCACCAGCAGCCAACATGGTTTCAGAGACGGGAAATCCTGTGTCACAAACCTACTGGAGTTCTATGACATGGTGACAGCAGTAAGACAAGAGAGAGAGGGGTGGGTGGATTGCATTTTCTTGGACTGCAAGAAGGCGTTTGACACAGTACCACACAAGAGATTAGTGCAAAAACTGGAGGACCAAGCAGGGATAACAGGGAAGGCGCTGCAATGGATCAGGGAATACTTGTCAGGAAGACAGCAGCGAGTAATGATATGTGGCGAGGTGTCAGAGTGGGCACCTGTGACCAGCGGGGTCCCACAGGGGTCAGTCCTAGGACCAATGCTGTTTCTGGTATTTGTGAACGACATGACGGAAGGAATAAACTCCGAGGTGTCCCTGTTTGCAGATCGTGAAGTTGATGAGAAGAGTTCATTCGATCGAAGACCAGGCAGAAATACAAAGGGATCTGGACGGGTTGCAGACCTGGTCCAGCAACTGGCTCCTGGAGTTCAATCCCACCAAGTGCAAAGTCATGAGGATTGGGGAAGGGCAAAGAAGACCGCAGACGGAGTACAGTCTAGGGGGCCAGAGACTACAAACATCACTCAAGGAAAAAGATCTTGGGGTGAGTATAACACCAGGCACATCTCCTGAAGCGCACATCAACCAAACAACTGCCGCAGCATGTGGGCGCCTGGCAAACCTCAGAACAGCATTCCGACATCTTAATAAGGAATCGTTCAGGACCTTGTACACCGTGTACGTTAGGCCCATATTGGAGTATGCGGCACCAGTTTGGAACCCATACCTAGCCAAACATGTAAGAAACAGAGAAGTGCAAAGGGATGTTGAAGAAGTATCTAGCCACAGAGTTAGAGGTATGCTAGAAAGTTTAGGGAATCGACTGACGACATGGAAGGAGAGATAGGGGGACATGAAAGACTACAAAATCGAGAGGAATTGACATAGCAGTGGAAAAGCAGGAGCCAGAGACTGGACACAGCAACAACGGGATACATTGGAAGCTAGGTGATCAAGATGTGAACACCACAGGTAGCAGACAGTGAAAGTGGGAAGCGAGCATGGTGCAGGACCATCACATAGCTTTAACAGGTACGTACAACTAGGTTCAGAGATACCATACACCAAAACACCACACACCACACACCATCAACCAACTAGATACAACTAGCACACACACACACACACACACACACACACCACACACACACACACACACATAAGATATGATAAGTCCAACTAGGCCAGAAATCAGTAATGCTTATCAAAATAGGTTAGGGAGCCGGGTCATGAGCCGAGGCTCGACCCTAGCAAACGCGAATATCACGAGGAACAAGTGAGAATCAGATGAGACATGATCATAATATACAAGATACTCGGGGCGGTGGCAAAGTGGTTGAAAACAATTAGGAAAATAGGAGACACAGGAACTAAATATCCTAGTGTATAAACCTCCTCCAGCATTAAGGGTAGATTATTATTTTATTCAAGGCGAAGTGCTTAACCCCTAAGAGTCAGAACGTGAGTGAGCAGAGGCAATCAGGTATGATCCGAGGAAAGGGAAGGAATCTTCAACTACTCTGATAAACGGAATTAGGGTAGAAAGTACGTGGAATACGACGAGAAAATGACTGGGTCCAGGAGCTACATCTCATTCTATGGAAACACATACAGGTAAATGCAATTAAAACTTTGATAAATCTTCGAACTTAGGACGTTCTATTTAGGAAACGTTTCACCCACTGGATTTTTATCAGTGCAGTACAGAACATATGAAAATACAGTGGACAGAGGTCAGATAGGTTAAGTAGGGTGAGGTCCTGAAAAATTTGGTAGAGGTTTTGGTGCATATGTCACCTTATAGTGTTGCAGCTGGCGGGGTTGCATCAGTTAGCAAGTACTCCTGATGCGCTGAATTCCAGAGAATCTAAGCAGCCGTGTCGTATACTGCAATCCCATGCTGGAATTTATGTGATCCTATCCGGGGGAGGCGATAAGGTATACGTGCGCTTGACAGCCATAGTTTGGACCATCGTTTAAAGGAGCACAAATATGGGTGCAGCAGGAACAATCAGAATAACACAAAAGTTTAATACACAGCAACTCCCAACCTGCAGGGAATCTATGTAAAAACAATCAGTATCTAAAATTCATCCTTGCCTAATCAGTTCTAACACACTAACTTTGGATATTTTTTTTTTATTTTCATTCTACTTCTTTCCTTGTGACTATTACCTGTCACGCCTGCCGTGACGCCTGACGATATACAATGAGGTAACCTTAGTAATCAAGGTAAACTATTTACAGAAGCGGCGTTGTCTCGAAAGTAAACCTGATCGCAGCTTCCGACACTGGTCCAACATTTTGGGAGATTCGTCATTTCAGGAATCCTTCTTAATTTCATGTTACCCCAGCAAGCACAAGGTGAGATAACGTATGCACCTGCACCTCTACATGGCCTTCCATGACCTAACCCCCACCTAACCTCACTTTGTGTCGACCATTGAGATATCTTGTAAATTCATACGACTGCAAACACGATAGGGCGAGCTTGTACAATCATAATTATATTATTAGCTGCAGTTTAATTTTGTGATTAGGAATCAGCACATCCACATACAAAAAAAAAAGTTACGTGTGTCCATTGTCTATTGACAAGTGTCTTTGATAAATGATAACTATTACACAAAATTAAATTGTCGCCAATATAATTATGATCATAATACATTCTTTGATGGCATACCATACAGTATGCATAGGAGTGAATGCCATTAATATACCAGTGGAGCTAATGTTCTAGTATTTGAGGAGATCCATCTTTATTATTATTATTATTATTATTATTATTATTATTATTATTATTATTATTATTATTATTATTATTATTATTATTATTATTATTATATTCAGGGATGTACTAAACCGTTAAGGATTAATCAGCGTCCTCTGGAACATGAAATAATTACGCATGATCCTAAATCCCTATGTCCATCATTGGGATTTAGACACTTCCCTTTCAGGGAGATCGATCTTTAGCATCTGGACCATAGATTCCCTTGCTAATATCGTTTTGCTACCATGGAGAAGCTGTGGCTATAAGGGGTATGAGAACAGATGTACCACGAAAGCTCCGTTGTTGTGGTAAGAGACACTAGGTAGGATCACAGATGGTGACGCAGACACAGACAAGTCATGGAGGTGCGGCTGTAATAATTTATGTGATATATCAAGGTATGATATTAGTGTAAACATATGATACCAGATATTATAAGCAAATATTTTAAATTTTCTTGTAACAGATAAATTATAAATAGTAAATGTATACCCAGATGGACTCATGGTAATCTCTTTTGGTTGCTAATACCTAGTAATTTTGTGCACCTGTGTTCCTGCGATAACATCTACAAGATGGCTATAAGTGCAAAATAAACTAGCTACAGCTGTCGACGTGATGGATACAGAGTGAACATAAACTAACCGTTACTGTCCACAGGATGGGTATGGGGTGAACAATAAACTAACGCTTCGGCGACAAAGTCAAATCGAGATTAGATAGTGTATAAGGTAGGCAGAAGAGGCAGTGAACAGACCAGTAGGTAAAAATACAGACAAAACAACTCGAGCCTTTATTATAACAATGTTTTGCTCTTGGAAAAATTGTCTTTCGCTGCTTTATATGTCCTGTCATCCAATGTGTACGGTGTGTGGCAGACTGCACAGAACTAGCAAGAACTGGAAGAGCTACCGCCCTGTTCTCCCACATTCGTATTCCCGTCATTACTGCTACGCTGAGTCAAGTGGGACCTCGGCTTGCTGGGGTTTAGTTAGGAGTCTTGCCTTCTCCGGGCCGGCTCTTCGCTTTTCCAGCGCTCAGTCGGGCCTAATTAATTGAGACTTTGCAGTGAACAGCTATAATGTGAGCTCTGTAGTGCTTATGTATGCCCGTGAAGCACGCCAGAAGAGAACATTAATTAAGAACTCGGGTGAAGCCGATGCTCATCTTATCGTTTCTTCTCACGTGTCTGTTCAGTGGCAACATTCCGTGGTGGTGAGTATCAGAATGGATGTATTGTTATAGTATCATACGAGAAGCTGATCCTCGGTCAGTTACATCATAATACCTATTATTCAGCCAGTACGTTTTAAATTATTATTAAAAGGCGATACCCACTGATAGGTGAGTGACAGAACGATAACGTCCCGCATGAATTCCTACCATGTTATACACCGGCACGACGCTCCTCCATGTTAACCATACCCCGCACGTCCGCACAGCTTCCTTCTGCTCTCTACTATCGCTCTGTAGACTTGTGTTTTCCTCAGCTTTCACACTGTTTTCGATTATCGTTCTCTATCACTTAGTGTCTTTTACCTTCGTAATCACCCTCTTGACTCGCTTTACCTTCATTTTCATCCTCTTGATATATTTTACCTACACTATCACCCTCCTGACTCATTTTTCTTTCGCTATCACCCTCTTTTGTTTTCGATTTTTTTCTTTGCAATTGGCCTCTAGGCATTGTGTCGTCGTCTATCGCTCTGCATGTGTCCTTGTTCCTTGTTCACCTTCTCTCTATTAAATTATTTACACGATTTAATTTACAAAGTTAAACTAATTCATGCACCATCATTCGATTTGTTTGAGTAGATAAGTTTTTATTGTGACAACATTTTACTCAGGGTAAAGCTTTATTAAAAGCTTTATAAAAGCTTTATAAAAAGCTCTACCCTGAGATATACTGGCGTAACGCCAGTATATCCAGAAGACTGAGACACTTATGCAACATATGGGAATATTTATTGAAGAAACGTTTCGCCACACAGTGGCTTCATCAGTCCAATACAAAGCAGAGAGGTGTAAGGAGGGAGGAGTTTGAGGTAATCAGTCCCTCAACCTGGAGTCGATGTGTTTAGCCCATAAGTCTTGCAGAAAGTACAGTATAGGGCCAGAGAAGTGGCTTATATACTGTAGTCAGGTGCTTCGACTCACCTGACTACAATATATAAGCCACTTCTCCAGCCCTATGCTGTACTTTCTACAATATTGATGGACTGAACACATCGATTCCAGCCTGAGGGACTGATTACCTCAAACTCCTCCTCCTTTCTGCTTTTTGCTTTTTTACATAAGTGTCTCAATCTTCCACATGTCGGTTTTCAAAACCGTTTATCACCAGTATATCCAGTTTCGATTTTTACTCATTTCTTTACGCTCCACACTTATTATATGTACTTATTAACTTTACACTCTTTATGTCAGGCTATTAATAGCATGAACTCAGAGTACTGCTGCCTAGTAACCGTTCTGTCACATTCACCTCTATCTAAACTCCCCTCTGCTCGCTACTAAAAAACAAACTGTCTCCCAGTTTTCGCTCCTGCCACTGATCCCCTTTGCCATTCAGTCGTTACCCGATATTTGCACTGTAAAGCTCCTGCCTCACAATCGTCGCTTCCATCACTAAGCCTTTCGTCATCCAGGTGTCTTCTCGATATTGAGCATTGTAAAGCTCTTGTAGCAAAGTCGTCGACTCTATGATCACCATTCCCTCTAATACCCGGTTCGCCCATTTGTCGTCTTTAAATTCATCACTTTGAATCCCTGAGAAGTGGCCGCTATATTCACCTGTTGCTAGTCGCTGTCCCTGTCATTAAGCCACATGACAAACATTATATACCTAGTTGTCACAGCTCGCTCTACTAAATCCCCAATATTAGCTTGAAGCTCTAATTCCGTTTCTTCTAACAACATATATAATCACAGCTATTTCTATATATTTTAAGAACAGTGTGCCATTATGTACAATAAAAATTCTGCATAGGATTTCGCATGTTTTATTTTAGTTGTATCTTCTGTAATACCATCTACAGCCCTTCACAATGTTCAGGTGATCTATCTGTATACGAGATTTTGCTATTCTGCTATTCTTAGTTTATTCGTTGGAGTCGGTTCTGTAGCGGGATACCGGAAAGGTGTGTCCAAACCTCCGTTTCTTAAGAAACTTCTAGGCGCTCTTTTCCTATGCACACACACACACACACACACACACGCACACACACACACACACACACGCACACACACACACACACACACACACATATATACACATACACACACACATTCACACACATACACACACATAAACACATATACACACACATACATACATATACACACACTACACACTACACACACATACATATACACACACACATATACACACATACACACACATACACACACATGCACAACACACACTTATACACACACATCCCAATACACACACATACACACACATACACACACATAACAGCTCTTTCCTCTCCTAGAAGCATTCTCTTCATTCCCCTTTCCTTCTTCTCTGCCTTTTTTTTATTTTCTTCTTCCACTTCCTTTTTCCTCATAGTCTTTTTCTTCTTTCAAGAGTTGGCAACGCGCCTCCTCTCTTGCCTCTGCCATTTTTATGACCCCATATCTCATATCTTCCCTCTCATCCCTCTCCAGTCATCCTCACTCACCGCTCCATCCACTTCTGGGAGAAGATCCTTGATACGCCGTTTTGGAAATATTATTATTGGACTCAGCAATATCATTAATAAGTAGTACTGATTGTTGTAGGTTTTAGGCTGTATTTTGTAGATTTTTGCTAATGAAGGGAATGTATATAGTGGTTGGAGGCTGTTATAGGTTGCTATTTTGTAGGCTGTTATTGCAGTTGTAAGTTATTGAAGTTGTAGAGTGTTGCAGGGTGTAGCCGTTGCAGGATGATGTTTTTACTAGATGAGCGTTTCAAGTTGTTGCTGGTCGTAGTCATCATCATTATCTTGCAATTTCCACGGGTTCTCGTGATCCTTGAGTGTATCGGCAATTCACAGTTTCTCAAAAAATATTCAAGCCAAAAAAAGTAAAAAATCTTTGAAAAAAAAAAAAATACCTCTCGTAAAAAAAAATAACTTGAAGCTGGTGAAATCTGTAAGCAGAGTGCCTGGCCACCTTGAAATATTCGCTTGAAAAAGGCGCCCTTTGAAATGTCTCTTTGTATAATTTCCTCGTTCGCTTAAAAGTATCATGAACCTATAAAATATGCTTCGACTTCAACCTAGGGTTTCGCAAGCTTTTCTTCAGTGAGCATTCCTTTCCTCCTTCAAGAACGCTTTAGAGACCAGCTCCATTAGAATTCCCTGTCACTTGAAGAATCCCGAGTATATTTTATATAATAGAAAAGCGTTTTTTTCCCTTTCGTTAAAAAAATATCTGAATTTCCAAGTCAACAAGAAACGAAGGGAGAGTTTTTCAAAGTCTTTCTTTCATGGCATGTCAAAAGAGACTTCAGCTGATGTGGAAATTTCTCCTGACACGCGTCAGCTTTTCTGAATTCCGTTTTTGGTCATTTTAACGATTGCCATAGTGACTCTGCTCTCTTATACTGGAAAAGTCAAAGTGTTTGAAAAGTATGTGTTGAGTGATGTACAGTAAATGTGTCCAAGATCGGTATTGCGAGACGTTGGAGTAGTGGAGAATTTAATGGCGTCGCTACAAAACAAAATAAATGAAAGTGCACAGGCCTGAGTGATGTTTTAAGAAAGCTAGTTGTATGAAGTGTTAATTGAGTGATGGTTTAAGGAAGCTAGTTGCATAAAGTATTGACTCAGTGATGTTTTAAAGAAGTTGGTTGTATGAAGTGTTCATTGAGTGATGATTAAAAGGAACTTGGCTATGTGAACTGTTTACGAGTGATTTAAGCTGGGCAGCTTTGTTTACAAGCAAGCTTTTGAAGCATTTATGGGCGAGTGGTGTAGAGCATCACTTGAGGAACCTAGGCAGTCTCCATGTAGTGGGTTCGAATCCTGCTGCGATTCTTCTCTGCATATACCCGCCTGTTTCTGCGTGGTTCATTAATACAGAAATCGCTAGTGAGATCAGAGCATAAAGGAGGAGAATGAAAAAGCTTGAAACCATACTTGAGACCCACTGATGTGCCCGGGCTGGGAAGAAACATGGTTTGTAAAGCAAGCTGCCCAGCTTTTGAAGCATCTGTGGGTGAGTGGCGTCGCTTAGGGAACCTTGCCGGTCTCCTTCTAGTGGGTTCGAATTCTGCTGCGATCCTTCTCTGTACATACCCGCCTGTTTCTGCGTGATGCATTGATATATATATATATATATATATATATATATATATATATATATATATATATATATATATATATATATATAATATATATTATATATAACATATACATCTTCTTTGTTCTTCCCCAATCTTCATGACTTTGCACTTGGTGGGGTTGAACTCCAGGAGCCAATTGCTGGACCAGGTCTGCAGCCTGTCCAGATCCCTTTGTAGTTCTGCCTGTTCTGTGTGTGTGTGTACTCACCTACTTACCTACTTGTGGTTGCAGGGGTAGAGACTCAGCTCCTGGCCCCGCCTCTTCACTGATCGCTACTGGATCCTCTCTCTCTCTGCTTCCTGAGCTTTGTCATACCTCTTCTTAAAACTATGTATGGTTCCTGCCTCCACTACTTCACTTGCTAGGCTATTCCACTTGCTGACAACTCTATGACTGAAGAAATACTTCCTAACGTCCCTGTGACTCGTCTGAGTCTTCAGCTTCCAGTTGTGACCCCTTGTCCGTGTGTCCCCTCTCTGGAACATCCTATCTATGTCCACCATGTCTATTCCCCGCAGTATCTTGTATGTCGTTATCATGTCTCCCCTGACCCTTCTGTCCCCCAGTGTCGTCAGTCCGATTTCCCTTAACCTTTCCTCGTACGACATTCCCTTGAGCTCTGGGACTAGCCTTGTTGCAAACCTTAGTACTTTCTCAAACTTCTTGACGTGCTTGACCAGGTGTGGGTTCCAGACTGGTGCTGCATACTTTAGTATGGGCCTAACATACACAGTGTACAGTGTCTTGAACGATTCCTTATTAAGGTATCGGAACGCTATTCTCAGGTTTGCTAGGCGCCCGTATGCTGCAGCAGTTATTTGGTTGATGTGTGCCTCCGGTGATGTGCTCGGTGTTATGGTCACCCCAAGGTCTTTCTCC